GGTGGTCTTCGGCAACGTCCCCAACGCCGACACCATCGACAAGGTCAAGGAATGGTTGCACAAGCGGTGCAAGGACACGGGCGTCCCCGCCCCCCCGGACCCATTCTTCAAGGGGCAGGAGTTCAAGAAAGTGGCATTTGTCAAGTGCCCTTCTATTGCGTATCGGGAGTCGCTTATTTCCATCATTCGGCAGTCTCCCCAGGGGGCCTCAGGACAGCCTTGGGCAAAACTTGACCTGCCCCTGGGTCCCCGCACGGTGGAGTCAGCGCTCTTCGCCTTCAAGCGTCTGTTGCTCCAGTGGGGCTACGGCAAGAAGGAGGTCGAGGTTGACACCCAGAACCACGTGCTGAAGGTGGCGGGCGAAGACATCGTCACGGCGGAGGTGCGCGACTACACGCTGCAGCTGAAGTGGTGCAGCGGCGAGTGGGAGAAGTGGGAGGACCTCCAGCACTCCCCAGAGCTTGCCGCCCTGACGTCCACTGTACAATCGCGGCTCGATAGGGCCAAAGAGTACACCTCGGGCTCGGGCAAAGGGAAGAAAGGGAAGGGAGATGCAGCCATGTAGGAAGCAAGGCAGCCCATGGGTAATTCAATCGAGTTTTCGCCCACCGAGGAGTGCATCAACGTATGTACTTGGAATGTCGAGGGCCTCGCAGACATCAAAGTTGAGCAGATATGTAATTATATGCGTTTGAATTCGACGGATGTGGCATTTCTCCAAGAGACGCGGCGGAACAAGTCAGATAATTTCGTTACAGACTCAGGGCACGAAATCTTTCTTTCTGGTTCTAGCACAGAAGGCAAAGAGCGGGCAGGAGTAGGCTGCATAATCGCCCCAAGCTTCCGGAAATCAGTGATTGGCTTCCGGCCCGTCGGGGGCAGGATCGCAAGTTTGAGGGTCAAATCTGCTACAGGTCCGGTCGCGTTCGTCGTGGTGTACGCCCCGCACAACCTACGCCCGCTTGAAGAAAGGCTGGCTTTCTACGACGATCTGGAGCTATGCGTGGATAACATCAAAGCTGGCGAGGGCAAGTACATATTGGGGGACTTGAACGCGAGACTGGGCAAGCGCAGGCCGGGGGAGGAAAACGTCATGGGAGAGCGTACCTTCGGCAACGAGGCCCGGCATGTGGTCCCAGTGCCCAATAGGGAGATGCTCCTCGAGTTCTGCTACAGCCACGAGTACGTCATCGCCAACACACGCTTCCAGCAAGACCCTGACAAGCAGGTCACATACTACGAGCTCCAGGCTACGCCGGTTGACCCCATCACTTCGGAGTCGTTCGCGATGATAGACTTCTTGCTTGCTCCGGCCGAACGCCTGAGCAGTGTGCGCAAGTTGCGCAGTGACATACTTGCTTGTATATCTTCACACCACTTTCCCGTGCTGGCTCAGATCCGGCTGGTGCGGGACAAGGGCGAACGGCCTCCACGCCGAGCCAGACGTGACTGGGAATCCTTGCAGCACCAACACGTGAAAACAGCCTTCCTGAGCAACGTCCGGGCGCGCACCGGCGAGCTCGAAGGCGCCTCGAACGAAGAAGCTGCAGACGCTTGGGGGACTCTGCGCCGCAACATTTGCGGAGCAATCGAAGATTGCATCCCCGCAGAAGCCAGGAGCCGACGCCGCCCGTGGATCAGCGGAAACACTCTTCAGCTGATAGAGCAACGGTCCCTTGCGCGACAGAGTGGAGACATCGGCAGAGAAAAATCGTTAGCAAGAGAGATCAAACGATCTGCCCGCAGAGATCGCGCAGCGTGGCTGCGAGATATTGCCGCTCAGGGGAACTGGGGTGCGATCCAGAAGCTTCGCAGAGGCAGAAAGGTATTGCAGACGCGCTTGAACGCCGTGGACGGCATGACTGTCGGCACCGAAGAGCGGGCGGAAACCTTCGCAGAGTTTCTGGAGACAGTGCAGTGGAGGGTCCGGCCAGCAGCAGTACTCCCTGAAAGAGACCTTCCATCTCATTTGCCATTGCCGGTTGTCGAGTCGCAGTTCACCACCGCGGAGCTCCGCAAGGCTATCCGCAAGATGGCCAGCGGGAAGAGCGTGGTCGACGGAGACGTTCCCATAGAGGCCTTCAAGGTGCTGGCGACATCAACTGGCACAGACTTGGGTGCTCTTCTAGACATCATGAACCAGTGCCTTCGCGATGGAGCAGTGCCAGCAGAGTGGATGACATCTCGGGTGACCATGATATATAAGAAAAAAGACCCTGGCTGCATGGAAAACTACCGCCCCATCTGCCTCACCTCTGTGGCGTACCGCGTCTTCGCGAGCATGATCAAGCAACGCTTTTTGGGCGCGGACTTGGACGAGCGTCTCTGGCCGACCCAGTTCGGCTTCCGGGCCAAGAGGAGCACAGAGGACGCGATCTACGTAGCACGGCGGCGCATTGAGCTCGCCTGCGCCCAGAAAAACGGGGCGGTGTCCTTGCTTGCGTTAGACTGGAGGAAAGCCTTCGACAGCGTCGGCGTAGACGGCATGATATCGGCCCTGGAACGTTTCGGCATTCCTGTGATGTACAGAGAGCTGCTGCGCAGCATCATGATCGGACGGAACTTTTCGTCGACGACATGGGCCGCCAGTCAGCCACTCGCCGACAGAATTCTGGGATCTCCCAGGGGTGCACCCTGAGCCCGCTCCTGTTCATTGTTGTCATGAGTGCACTAATGGAAGACGCAGTGGCGCTCCTGGGACCTTCTGCAGCAATGGCGCACTGCAGCGGGGATCTCGCGGACATTGCTTTTGCCGACGACACGTTGCTCATCGGTTCCAACGCGGCGCACGTGGAGGAATTCGCCTCGGCTGTGGCACAGGCTGGACAGGCGTACGGCCTCGAGCTTCACCTGGACAAGCTACAGCTGCTGCAATGCCGCACAAACCGACCTCTTCACATATCCGGACGCGCGCTGGAGACCGAGGATGCGCTTATATACCTTGGCACCAGTCTGACGCCAGACGGCAGAATGTCTGGGGAACTCACAAGGCGCATCGGGCTGGCACACGCGGCCTTCCGTGCAGTCCGGCAAGTTTGGAGACATTCGTCATTATCCTTGCAGTGGCGGTTGCGCGTCTTCCACGCGCTCATCGAGTCGAAGCTGTTATACAGTTTGGCCGCAGGTTGCTTCACCAAGGCAGATCTTCGCCGATTGGACGGTTTCCAGGCGAGATGCCTGAGGGTTATCATGAAGATTCCCAGTGCGTACATTTCTCGGATTTCCAACGCCTCGGTGCTCCAGAAGGCCGGGGCAGAGCCTGCCTCCGCGCAGCTGCGGCGAAGGCAACTGCGCCTCCTCGGGAAGGTCATCCGGCAGCCGGAGGGGTCTGCAATGAGAGACGTATCATTCTGCCCGGGCAGATCTCTCCGTCCAGCAACGGACCGCTACATTCGGGTGCGCGGGAGACCCCGGACAGAGTGGATCCGGACCGTTCTGCCGGACGGGTTGCGCGTCGCGGGCGGCTTCCAGCAATTGACAGACGCAGCCATCGACGAGCAGCACTGGCGCAAGATCGTCAAGGAGTCTTGAAACTGCCCTTCCCTCCTTCTTCCTCCCCCCAAAAGTGTTGCCGGCCGCAGTGTCGTAGAAGTCTCGCCCGCGTTTCCTCCGTCGCCCCCTTGTCGCTCGTCCCTCCTCCTCCCTCCCTCCTGGCCTCGCCTCTCGTCCCCGCTCGTCGTGCGTCCCTCCCTTCCCCCCGTGCGTCCTTTCCCCCTCCTGTTGTAGCACCGCAGATCTATGCATGCACATCCACAGCCTCGTTCCGCAGCTTGCAGGACGGATGCCGTCAAAGACGGGGTCCCGGTCCATGCCCCGTGCACGTGCCCATGGGCTGCCCCAGCCTACGGCTTGACCTGACCTGACCTGAATGAATACCACGCGGAAACTGGTTGAGACGTCGAAGGGGGTCCAAGGTCAGCACATTTTCGACGGCGTGGATCTAACAGCCAAACTGCGCCATTGCCCCTAACCACGACAACGATGGCGGCGTCGACAGCGACGACCACAACGACGCCCCCGTCGCCGCCGCCGCCGACGACGACGACGATGCCTCTCGCATACTACTGCCACTGTCGTGCTGACCGAAGGGCTCCTCGCGGAGGCAGAGGAGGAGGAGGAGGAGGAGGAGGAGGAGGAGGAGGAGGATGAGGAGGAGGAGAAGGAGGGAGCAGGAGGAGCAGGAGGCGCGGAGGGGAAGGGAGGAAGGAGGAGGTGGAGGAGGAGGAGGCGTAGGAGGAGAGGAGGAGGAGGAGGAGGAGGAGGAGGAGAGGAGAGAGGCGAGGAGGAAGCAGGGAAGGAAAGCAGGAGGAGCAGGAGGGAGCAGAGGGAGGCGGCGGAGGGGGAAGGAGGAGCAGGAGGAGGAGGAGTGAGGATGCGGAAGAGGAGGAGGAGGAGGAGGAGGGGAGGAGGGGGCGGGAGGAGAGGACGGAGGCAGAGGGGAGATGAGAGAGGAGGAGGAGGAGAGGAGAGAGGACGAGAGGAGAGAGGAGGAGGAGCGAGACGAGGAAGTGAGAGGAGGAGGAGAGGGAGGATTATTAGGAGGAGAGGAGAAGGAGGAGGGGAGGAGGAGGAGGAGGAGAGAGGAGGAGGAGGAGGGAGGAGGAGGAAAGGAGGAGGGGAAGGAGGAGGAGGAGTGGAGGAGGAGGAGGAGGAGGAGGAGGAGGAGGAGGAGAACCACTGGAAACGCAAGGGCCATCAACGATGTTGGAATCAACCCTGTCTCCACGCTTCCTTTTCATAGACCCCATACAACGGTTCATTTCCACTGACGGAATTGCCCTGTTGGAAGTCGACCGTTGAAAACCCTGAAGCATGCCAGAACATTGCGACCATGCCCGTCCGTTTGCCCTGGCTGAGGGGTAATAGCCCGCCTTTTGGCCCCGCTGTTTTCCTCATCCTCCCCCCGGCCCTCCTCTTTCTCCCCTTGTGTTCCTCATCCTCTTTCTCCTCGTCCGCCTTCTTCTCCTCTTCTCCGCCGCCGATACGCGCGGCGTTAACGGCGCCGCGCGGCGTTAACGGCGCCTCGCAACATCATGCGAGGCACAGGTATAATACACGCTTGCCACGTCAATAGAGAGGGGTTTGCGATGGGACGGGAGGGCGAAGGTGTTTTCTGTCGCGCGCGCGCCCCATTCGCGCGCGATCTGGTGCCCAGGCGGTAGTTGCATCTACGGCAAAATGCCAACCCAGTTCCTTCAGTCAATCGCAATGTGGAATCATGGCTGAAAGGCAGGCTACACCTTAGGCGATGCTTAAGAAAACCCAAGTTTTCGGCCAGAGTCTCGATTATTCTTAACGTTTCAATGTAAATCCTAAGATTTGAATAGAAATGTTGGGTTTTTTGTTATTGAAGTTCTGAGACTATGAATTTCTTAACCCATGATTTCTTAAGCATTTCGCAGGGTGTAGATTTTCCTCGAACCTTGGGCCCATTTGCGCAGCCCCCCGCCGAACACTTCCTTCGGCGCCACTTGCTCGCTACGCCAGCCCGCCTCAGCAACGCAGCGCCCGACAATGTTTGCACGGCCTCATTGAGTTCGGTGGTGTTGTGGTGGCCGACATTGCCGACTCGGCGCAAGAGGTTCATGATGTGCGTTTTCGTCGACTCGGCGCTATTGTTCCCCGCCGCGGGTTTGACGTACAGCTGCGTCTCCTGGACAGTTGGCGCTTTGCCGCGGCAGTCGTGGCGCAGCTTGGTAACCGTCTCCAGCGACAGTTTGCTTTTGAGCAGCTTCGTTGCGCGCGTGACACTTTGACCTGGTGGTTCGCTCCAGACAGGGGCGCCGATCTTCTCGGCAGAGGAAAGGAACGCGCGCGCGCACCGTCTACGGCCACACGCGTCAGGGCCCACGGCGCCGACAACGGGGCCGCGAACCTCCTCGAGGGGCCCGTGGCCGCCAGAGCCACGCTTCGCCAACGAGTACCTCGCTGGCAAAACCTTAGCCGCCCACTTCTTGGAAAACCTGCCCTGGCGCACGGGCGCGCGCCTCTCGTGGCTTGTTGCGCCGCCGCGCAACTTCTTGCAAACCATGCGGGGGCTATCTGGCTCGACCGCATCGTTCTTGAAGGCTGTCACAAGGGCGTCCTCCACCCTCGCGTGCGCCAAGGCTACCCTGCGGGCGTCAAAGAATTCTTGCACTTTGTGCACAGTGGCTTGGATGATTTTGTCCTTCTGCGCACGTGCGGTCATTTGGCTCGGCGGCTTGGTGCAAGTGGGCCGCTGCGTCGTTGGGCGCCTTACATCCCAAGGCATATGCGGTACGCGGGCACATGCCGTAGTCGCGGTCGTTGCCGCTGGAGTCGTTCCGACGGAACGGCGTGGCGCGGACGACAGCATGTCGTCCCCGTGCTTTTGGAACCTTGTCCCTGCTTAGCCACCTGTTCGCCGCACTGCCAGCAAGCGAACGACTTCGCTTCGCACCTGCGCGGGATTACGGCCGCCTCTACCAGCATCTTCTTCGCGGTTTTCTGGCTCAAGCCTTCGACCTCCTCGAAGGCTGCTCCAAACCCCGCAGTGTAATTGTGTCAGGAGCGGCGGATGTGGCGTCGCCGCCGTAGGTCAGGCCGTCCAGCTGGAATTTGGAATTCATGCGATTAGCCATGTCGCTGCGGCTGGCGGCGCCCCTGCCGGTGGCGTTCATCACCTTCGCGAGTTTCGCCTTGTCGATGCGGCTGGCGGCGCCCTCGCCGATGGTCTTCATCACCCGCGTCGGCTTCGCCTTTGCGATTTTGCTGATGGCGCCCTCGCCGATGGTCTTCGCCACCTTCACCGGCTTCGCCTTGACAGCGCGGCTGGCGGCGCCCAGCCCGCTCGCCTTCCAGTTGTTCATCGGCTTCGCCCTGGCGGCGCGGCTGGCGGCGCCTTGGCCGTTTTGCGCACCCGCCGTCTCGAGGTGCCACTTCCGGGCGATCCGAGGCATGGGCGCGGGGCGGCAGCGGCCACGGCTAGCTCTGAAGCAGCTCGAGCCAACTTGCAACGCAACATCAAAAACTGACTGCTCAACGTGCCAACGGGCGCGCTGCTGTCATGGGCCAAGAGGGAACTTGGGAGAGATGGGCGCATGTATTGCGGAAGTCTACCGGCGCTCATATCCTGTCGGACCCTCCGCGGCACGCAGTTCACCCTGCGGGCGGGCGTTCCCCCGTCCTCACGTCGCGCCTAGCCCCGCCCGGAACTCCTCGAGCGCGAAGCTGACGTTGGCCTTTTCGCCGATTTTGGTTGGCACGTCGCGCAGCTTGTCATCGTTGCCCAGCGAGCCGAAGCGAACGATCACACCGTCGAACCTACGCGCCAGAACCCAGACGCCCTCGCCGAACTCGCGGGCCAAAGTCTCGTGGAAGTTAGTGACGAGCTCGGCCCGGATGGCGCCCAGGCAGAATGCGGGCGAGTCGCCGCGGGGAAGCTCCGATTAGCGAACTTCGAGTCCAGGTGCTGGAGCCGCGGCTTCTCCGGCACCGCTCGAGCCGCCGTGCGAAGCTCGACTGCGAGCGGCCACAGTGATGGCAGCTCAGCCATCGGCTTGCCGCAGCGGAGGATGCTGACGAGCTGCTTCTCAGCATCCTGGACAGCGATGTCCTGGTAGCTGGCCAGCTAACTGGTAACGATCATGCGCAATAAACGTCTGATGCCCGATCTCTGTGCCACTGCCCGCGCCAGCGTAGAGCTCGTTCCACCAAAACTGCACGACCGCGCTAACACAGTCAATGTCGTAGTTCTCGAAGGCGTCACCGTATGAGGCGTCGACGTTACGGTGTGAGCGGAACGCGTGCTTCTTCGTGCCGTCTTGAGGCCTTGTGCGTTCGGGTTGCGCGAGCGCCCCCCCCATCCACGTCGCACTTCCTGTTGTGAGTGACGGGGGGGCTTCAGAAGTCACTCTTCCGAGCGCCTGGCGCAGTCGAACTCCCTGCCCCCCCGATTGCCAACTTCGTTCCCCGATTCCACGATGTAAATTCTTTACGCTTCGCGTATCCCCACCAGCCCATCTCAAAGCAGCAACTCTTGCGAAGCATGCCGACAGTCGTGTTTTTCAGGCGTGTTTCCGCCTGCCCCCGCAGATCTCCCCTGTTCCTCCTTCCTCCCGCCTCCTTGTACATCCTCCTTGTGGTGGGAGCGGGAGAAGGACGAGGCGGAGGAGGAGGGAGAGAAGCGCTCCTCGTGGTTTGAGTCGTTTGGGGTTTCTTGTCCTGGTGTGAGTCGTTCGGGCCCTTCTTCCTGGTGTGAATCGTTCGGGCTCTTCGTGATGTGAGTCGTTCGGGCTCTTCGTCCTGGTGTGAGTTGTTCGGGCCCCTCGTCGTCGTGTGAGTCGTTCGGGCCCCTCCTCCTGGTGTGACTCGTTCGGGCGGGCTCCTCGTGGTGTGAGTCGTTCGGGGCCCTCGTCGTGGTGTGAGTCGTTTTGGGAGCCTCTTGGAGGCCTTTTGGGGCGTCTTCGGGGCCTCTTGGCGGCCCCAGGGGCTTCTAGGAGCGTCTGGGGTGCCTTGGGGGAGCCTCTTGGGGCCTCTTGGGAACCCCTTGCAGGCGGTAAGGGGCGTCT